GTTCTGCTTAATTTGGCTTTTTGTGATTACAGATAGGCTTCCTTTGGGTAATACCCAACAAATTCCAAGGCTTTGCTGCATGTGTAAAAATGGCTGATGCCCTTTTTATTTATCCCTGTCTCTTGGTAAATGTATAACTTTTCTGGAAAGACAGCCTGTTTTTCAACCCTGAAGTAAAATCCTCTTGTGAATAAATTAGGAAATTAAACATTTGGCTTAACATTAGCTTTGAGGAATACAATTTAACATAGTATTAAACCAATTTTCTTTTCAAACAGTGCTATTTTATATTCATTGCCACTGATGAAGAGAATACAACGAAAAACAGTCTGCAGTTAATCATGGAAAACATCATTTTTCAGGACCCCCTAGTGTTTTTCTTTAAAAATTCACTCCAGAAATAGTGTCATCATAAAAAAATCAGATTTACTTTCTTTCAGCTTCTTCTACATTAATATTATTACATATCTGGGTAAAAATTAATTAAGCAAAGGGTCATTAATATGTATCTTCTTTGGGGGCATAGTAATTCTAAAAGAACATGTATTTGTTTAGAATAATACATTAATATTAAAATAAATTATGTCTATACTACTAATAAATACTGTGGAAATACCCCTTTGAGTCTAATTAGTACATTACCTGCTATAAAAGGTGTTGATGGCTTATTTTGCCTTTTAACTGTCTTTTTGTTGTAGTTATGCTCATAAAAGTCATGCAACCATTGCCAGTTTGCATCAACTTGTTCTTTCTTTCGCAAAATTTGTTCAAAGACTGTTGCCCTTGAAAGAACAGTTTTATTAGTATAAACAAACTAATATCAGACGTTGGACTGCAAAACATAAAGCATAAAGATTTTCAGTTACCGACAAACAGTAATTGATTTTCTTCTGAAAAACAAGCTAATGAACAATGTTTCCAGCAATACAGATCTTGCTTAGTTGATACAGTTAGTTTTAATCTGCACACACAAACATGTTAAGACTTTGGGAAAGTTCTACTAGAAAATTACTTCTATCCAATAAACACATTATGTGGTAACATAAGCTCCGCAAAAGCTAGAAGGGCTAAACAGGGTAAATACAGCTGTTTAGAGATAAGTATATCAGTAAAGTTGAATTATTATTGTTGTTACTGTTATTATTAAATATCATATTTTTTCACTATAATCTGTACCTTAAAGGCTTAGAACTACTTCATTTTCTTCACAACGACCTTTAAAATTGCCAATATACTGTATAAACTATATATATATATATATATATATATATATATATATATATATATATATATATATATATATATATATATATATATATATATATATATATATATATATATATACGTATGTATACAATTTCTTCATTTTAATAGAGACACTGAGGCAATTTTGCAACTTTTGTCTGCTGTGCATGCAAGCTTCAATGATCCCTCATTTGCCTGCTGGCGTTGGTTGGGACAGACCCGGCAAAACATATAAAAGAACACCACAAAAAAGGCACAACTATAAAACTTTGTGTATTTAATATATGACTAATTAGCCAATTATTCCCTAAAGCACTCACTTATTTCCTAAAACTATAGGAAGCGGGTGTCTTTCCTTTTTGCAACTCCCATATTCAGTGGCTGTCACAGACTTTTGCAAAGTTTTTACTCTAGATGCGTCTCCAGAAGCAACCATGATTTAAACCCTCAATTTCAATAGAAACAAAATGTTAATATGGCCTCCCTATTCCACAGATTTCAATATGGTCCAGTATCTTTGGGATGCAAGGCACAAACAAGTCTGATCTATAAACCCCCCGATTTAAATCTAAAAATTGTTAGATTATCTACTGCTGGATCCTTAACTTGATGCCAGATATCAGAAAATTCGGATTTCGAGTAAAGTTCATACTTTGACTGGTCTGGACTCTTTAGGGATAAAGGGGATTTGTTCTGTGTATTAGTAAGCTTGACTCAGATTTGTTTCTGTGACACATGTTTACTATGCATGTTTATAATGAACAAATTCTTGATTCTGTTTAGTTTGATAATGCACAGAAATTTGACTTTCCAAGTATGCAATGTACATGTATACAGATAGGGTTTCTTTATTTAAGAGAGGGGTGTCTATAACCTTCTTTTTTAGCAACAGAAACCATCAACATTAAGTGTGTCATGCAAAGTTGCACCCTGCTGTGCTAAGAAATGGGAATATATAAAGTTCTTTTATGTCAGCTTAAAAAAGTATGCAAGATTTCTGTTTTTATGTATTATTTTAGCTGTAGCCGATAATAATTTCTGACCCATATAGCTTATTTAATCTTTTGTGCCAAACAAAAGCCTCTGTGTTCACATACAGTCAAATGTTGCCAAGTTCTTATTCAAAATCTTTCCTTTTTCAACTTCTGCTGCTACAGTCCTGTTTTTATCTTAGAAGCATTGCTAAGCCACTAAAATATTTTATTTGTTAATGACATATATACATATATAGAAAATATATATGTTTTCTGTGTTTTATGCATGAGGGTTAGTCTCTAGTTTGATTTACTGATAAAAAAAAATCATTCATATCTAAATAAACAAAAAATAATAAAAAATGAAAACAAAAATTGAAAATTCTAATGTAATAAAGCTGTCCTTTTGGGATGATTGTGGTTCAGTAGTCATCTGAGAATCAAAGACTTGCGGGTATTGATGTTCCCCTGTTTGAGTTACCTGCAAATCTGTGTATGTCTGTCTGTTTTTAAGTGTGATTGGATGTATTTATTTGCCTCAATAGTAAATTCAGTCTGCCTGAAAAAGCGCTAAATTAATTGAATACAAACTGTGATAGTCTGGTGATCTGTCCAGTATGTACCCCATCTTTGTCATAGACTAATGGAGACCCCCCCCCCCTTTCAAAGCTTGTCTCGATAATCTTTTTACTAGAAAAGTTCAAGAACAAATGAGAAACAGCCATTGACATTCATTTGCTGTTAAAAATTAGGTAATTTCTAGCTAGTTTTTAACCATGAATTGTGCAGCAACATGTAATGAATGAAATCATTTGATAATTATTTTCATGGTGTTGAGACAGTACTTCATTCAGACTTTACTTTAAAAACAAAGCAATACATACACTATATTGCCAAAAGTATTTGCTCACCTGCCTTGACTCACATATGAGCTTAAGTGACATCCCGTTCCTAATCCATAGGGTTCAATATGACGTCGGTCCACCCTTTGCAGCTAGAACAGCTTCAACTCTTCTGGGAAGGCTGTCCACAAGGTTTAGGAGTGTGTTTATGGGAATTTTTGACCATTCTTCCAGAAGCGCATTTGTGAGGTCGCACACTGATGTTGGACGAGAAGGCCTGGCTCTCAGTCTCCGCTCTAATTCATCCCAAAGGTGTTCTATCGGGTTGAGGTCAGGACTCTGTGCAGGCCAGTCAAGTTCATCCACACCAGACTCTGTCATCCATGTCTTTATGGACCTTGCTTTGTGCACTGGTGCACAGTCATGTTGGAAGAGGAAGGGGCCAGCTCCAAACTGTTCCCACAAAGTTGGGAGCATGGAATTGTCCAAAATGTCTTGGTATGCTGAAGCATTCAGAGTTCCTTTCACTGGAACTAAGGGGCCAAGCCCAGCTCCTGAAAAACAACCCCACACCATAATCCCCCCTCCACCAAACTTTACACTTGGCACAATGCAGTCAGACAAGTACCGTTCTCCTGGCAACCGCCAAACCCAGACCCGTCCATCAGATTGCCAGATGGAGAAGCGCGATTCGTCACTCCAGAGAACGCGTCTCCACTGCTCTAGAGTCCAGTGGCGGCGTGCTTTACACCACCGCATCCGACGCTTTGCATTGCACTTGGTGATGTATGGCTTGGATGCAGCTGCTCGACCATGGAAACCCATTCCATGAAGCTCTCTGCGCACTGTTCTTGAGCTAATCTGAAGGCCACATGAAGTTTGGAGGTCTGTAGTGATTGACTCTGCAGAAAGTTGGCGACCTCTTCGCACTATGCGCGTCAGCATCCGCTGACCCCGCTCCGTCAGTTTACGTGGCCTACCACTTCGTGGCTGAGTTGCTGTCGTTCCCAAACACTTCCATTTTCTTATAATACAGCTGACAGTTGACTGTGGAATATTTAGGAGCGAGGAAATTTCACGACTGGATTTGTTGCACAGGTGGCATCCTATCACAGTTCCACGCTGGAATTCACTGAGCTCCTGAGAGCGACCCATTCTTTCACAAATGTTTGTAAAAACAGTCTGCATGCCTAGGTGCTTGAATTTATACACCTGTGGCCATGGAAGTGATTGGAACACCTGATTCCAATAATTTGGATGGGTGAGCAAATACTTTTGGCAATATAGTGTACATATTGAGCAGTGAGCCCTAACCAGCACATATAGATTCCAGAGTAATCAACTGACAGCTACTGTATAATGTGGTACCAGATTTGCATTGTTAATCATATGCAAAGTGTTTATTCACTCAGGTACGCTTGATCTGGTTATGTTTTGTTGCTACATCCATGTTTTAGAAAATCAATGACTCTTTCACATGAGATAAAAAAAAAACAACAACAATGCTAACAGTAAAAACTTTTCTTTTTTTTTCTAAGATTGTTGCTTTTAGAAAACCTGATGAGAAATATTCTGAAGAACCCTTAGTTAGAATGAGCACAATGCACATAAAATCAACTTGCATGCTTTAGTCCCATATTAATCAGGCCAAAGTGCTCCACAGCTGAATCAAAGAACACGTCAATGACATGGCACACTTGTAGCACCAAAAAATGGTGTCTCTTCTGAGTGAGAATAAAATGTTTTAATTAATTGTGTTGACATGATTAACATAGTTTGAAAATCTCTACAGAACACTCGCATTTATAATTTAACTGTATTTGTTTTAAAAGCACCACAGGTACAAATCTGAACAGCTGTTCAGCTGCTGTTAAACAGAATAACCTGCAACAACATCTGATGTTTGTTTTTCTGTCCCTCTGCCTCATTTGTCTAACAGGAGATCGTCCTTGTGGTGTTCTTCGGCGTGGAGTATTTTGTCCGTGTTTGGTCCGCAGGCTGCCGCAGTAAATATGTTGGCATCTGGGGCAGACTACGCTTTGCCAGGAAGCCAATATCTATTATAGGTGGAAACACAATCCCCACACACTACTATATCTCTACCCATGCACACAAGCAGACATGTCATTCGCCACCCACTCTTACAATTTTTAAACAATAACCAGCAATGTATCCCCAGCCTCTTCCCAAAATGAGATAGTTGAGACAAATTCAGCATGAAATTAAAACTGTCACATCAGAATTTTTATTCTTTTAGATTTCATTCTTACGATTTGTGCCTCTAGGTGCTCATTCTTAAGTATGCCACTGTGAATATATTTTTTATTATTGCACCTTCTTATCAAATTAAACTAATGTAGCTTATTTTTTAATTAAAAAAAGCAACAACAAAAAAAACTTTCTTTTGCCCTAAAATAATACAAATGTCGTAATTAAGCAACATTTATACAGATACTCATTTTTTTTTTCATTACCACAGATCTGATAGTGGTTGTTGCTTCAATAGTTGTGTTGTCAGTGGGCTCCAAAGGCCAAGTTTTTGCCACTTCTGCTGTAAGGTAAGATATTTTTTGCTTTCAAGATGAAAATATATGTAAAGGGAATACTATCAATTCTAGGTCTCACTTTAGAGTTGCACCTCAGGACACCCATCTTAAACTCTGTGGAGCATTTCTTTAACCAGTTATTTCATGTGGCATTTATGAATACTTTAGCCATATTGCTTGTCCAGACATAGCTTGCAATACTATTCATGCTCCTTGAATTTTATTTCACATTTTTAAGCTTTTATTTTATGCCACAGATCAACACTAAGTAAGATGTATTTGCAGTGTGAAGGGAAAAGGACAACATTGTTTACATAACGAGAGATCTGGATAGCAGTTTTGTGTTCTTCCACATAGTTAGCTGTATCTCCTTCATTTTTTGTTTTAAGTTGCATATGGGGGTTATTTTTTCTTTCTTACAACAATTACCGGTATATAAAAAAACTATTTATCTAAGAATAATAGTTATAAGGCTGCTGGTATGATTAACTCGCATCTTGCTAAGCCTTTCTGGGAAATTCGATGACTGATATCATGGTAGATTTGAAATTGTGAAAGGCTCTTTCTATTTCCTTTTGATAAATTGAACAGTGCTACATTGTGCTACATATTTCATGACCTAACCCTGCTTTACAAATCTTCAGAACTTGATCTCTGATCTGTCTTCTAACTGAATACATTTAGACTCCACACTTTCTAGACTTGTATGGTTGAAAAAAAAATAGGTATCAAAGTTCATTTTCTGTGCAGTTTACAATTTAGCGCTACTTTGTGTTGGTCTAGGATATATAAAGCTAATAAATTTGATTGGTTTTGCAGTTTATAACTTTGTGAGAAAAAATTTAAAGAAGTGAATGAATTTACTAAAGTCTCTTTAGACTTACTGGTTAAAGTCACAGATGTCTTCCACACGACTCTAACCTTGAATTTAGGTGATATATTTAATTTATACATATTATTGATCATTATGTCAGTCTTTTTGTCTGCAGTGGTAAATCTAGCCTGCATTTGTTATAAATATGTTGTCAGCAGCTAAAAAAAAGTTCAACTTTTCCAGAGGGATTCGCTTCCTGCAGATCCTGCGAATGCTGCATGTTGACAGGCAAGGAGGAACCTGGCGTCTCCTGGGCTCGGTTGTCTTCATTCATCGGCAGGTACAAGATCTCAGCTCTAAATGTGCAGTATATATCAAGTCCTCAGTCATTGCTGCCATAGGGCTTTTCTAACTGTTATTAATAAGCTGGAGGCCATGTGTCTGGGGAGTAATGGCCTTTCCAAACCATGTATTTTTTTTCTTGCTAAGCTGTGCAAATGGAGGGTCTTCACATGAATATACATCATACAGTCAAAGGAGTAATCAGAGTGGAAAATAGGACAAGAACAAGGATAATGGTGAAGTTGGGTTGGGTTTTTGATTTTATGGACATAGTAGCTGGAGAGGATTATGTCTTTCTCCAGGGTGTCATTTAACCAAGACACAGAGGTGGCTGTGATTATCCCCAGTGGCCATGGTAGTTGCCTTTAATGTCCATATAAAAGTGATGAGTGATATGCAGGGTGTCAGGAATTTTACTCATCCAGGGCCACCTGCTGTTCTTCCTTGCCTTCATGATAGCTGATGACTATATCACTTACAGCTGCTGAGAGTTATCGACAGCCACTGATGTGAAGACGCTTAGTATTGGTGCAGAGAAAATTTCCCAAAAGACCTTTTTTCCAATCTGAGATAGTAGATGTTGACAGCTCTGTTAGAACTTTTAAAGGTATAAAATGTTTAAGAAAAGTTCCCCTATATCGTTGATAGTGCCAGATGGTGATGTCAGGATAGTTATAATGCATTTTTTTTTTATAAATCCAGAGGAATAATTATTCATGTCATAATATCTGGTGCCTCTTAATAGGTGCTTTATTAAGGCAATGGGAGAATGTAGAGCAGAAAGCAAAGAATGTGTAAATCTGTTTTATACTCAGGATGCCATGTTATACTATATATACTGTTGATCCTTCCTTATTTATAAGCTATAGCTATAGCTTTCTACATGTTGAATTACTTTTTATATGATCTGTTGCAGGAAGGATTCCCTGGTCTCAGCTCTTAGAAATAATGATCAGAAGTATTTTTGTCATTATTTCACCATATAAAAATTTTGCTGAGACAATAGGATCAGAAGGCACACAAACAACAGAATAAAAGAATTTACAAAAACTATGAGGATGCTTAACAGAAACCCTTAAAAATATAAAATGCCACCTGAAGATAAACTCAAAGTATGGATCATTAAACACCTTTTTTTAGCTCTTTAAAGAAACATTAGAACCAGTTTTACGACATATAGAGACATATTTGTAAAAAAAAAAAGAAAAGAAAAAACATGTCCAAAGAAAAAGAAGAGAAATAATGAAAACAAGTTTAATGTCTAACAAACAAGCAACTCTCGCCATACAGCAGAACAAACAATAGATGGTTTAGATCAATGCATATTCATATGTAATAATCATGTGAGAGAGTGGAGACCTAAATCCAATTCAGATTTTATGGCAGGACTGTAAAAGTGCTGTTTATAAATACTGGGAGCTGATTTCTCCAAAATGTTTGAAGGTGTAAATCCATACAAAGCACACTTTAGGTTTTTAATATAATAATATTAATAATATTAATAATATTAATAATAATAATAATAATAATGATAATAATAATATTAGTTTGTGAGTGTTGGCATTGATGAGCACCAGGAGATTAATGCCTTAGTAAAATTCACTGTACATAATTGATGTTAAGGACATTATATTTATTTTTTTTGTTTTAATACTCTTCAAATCCACTAAATTTTTCCTCTCTTATTTGAAAACAGAGGAAAGCTGATGTTCACACAAAAGATGGAAATTTAATTCACAACATGTTCTCCACAAACAAAAGCTTTGCTCTATCTATCCCATGTTTGCCTTGGATGTAAGACAGTGTGAAAGAAAATATGAGGGTGTCAGCACCAAATTGCTCTCACATATACAAGCTGGATCCATAATAAGCCTCAGCCTTCACACATAAACACCAATGGAGTCTAATAGAGGAGTATGATTACCAGAGTGACTCTCTCAGAGTCCTTGTAAAATTCAGTTTTGATTAAAGGCATCAACGATCCATTTGTGTGTCGTAAAGATGTTGTCTCTGGGCAGATTATACTTCCCTTATCCTTTTCTCAGTGTTTCATTTTTTCAAATTAAATTAACAACCCACAGAGAGAGAGAGGTAAACCTTATCAAAGAAAAACACAAATCTTAGCAACGGATTTCTTATGCCATTATTTTTAATGACTAGCCTTTACAGAATTAGAAAAGGTGGCCACACAGTGCATATTACTAAACTAAACTAATATTTGTGTGATGGTAAGGATTCTTAATTTTTTTTTTTTTTTTTTTTATGTTTTTCGAATTGAAACAAAAAATGAATAATGGGAAACAACAGTTTTTTTTTTTTTTTTTCTCAATTTGTTTCATTAAATAATATAAACTTATGGAGAGTTGTTCCTTTTGTTCAATTGATCCTTTTCCTAACAATTCAGAATTGATGAAGTGTTAGTAAGCAAATTTTTATCAATTTTATTTCGGGCTCTGAAATAACCAGGAAGTAGTTTTGTTTTTGGGACAAACATGAAACTTTACTGTTAATTATTTGGATGTTTTTTTTTCAAAACATGTGCCGCCGTCTGACATGTTGTCTGTAGCACTCCCCTAACTGAATATTTTATTCAGCATCCTGGTGATAACAGCTGCAGTTCATAATTCAGTTATTTAACAGTGGTTAGTTTGAAGCAGCTCTAAAATAGACACTAAATAGAATGATTTACAATACTAATCACTGAGGCATTTTCACATGTCACCTCATTTCCACAGTTGAGTGTAATGTGCCAACTCATGCTTCGACTTGGTAAAATCCTCATGTGGGATGGAATATTTTATGCTTTAGCAACCATACATCTTGATTATTTCAATAGGTTAGGTAGACTACGGCATGTTTTACAGACCTAAAAAGCTGGATATATTTTAAGGTTGTTTACTTTGGGCCATACCATTTAAAAAAAATATTACTGAGTTATTAAATCTGGATGACAATTGATTGGTGACTAGTGATAAAGTTTTAACTTTGACAGAAAGTGCCCTTTAATTGTTTTCCTCAAAGTATAAATCTATTGAGGTCAATGGCATATGGTAAGCACACGTCTCTCAGAGGACCTTGCCAGGTCAAAACTATCAGAATACTATTCAAGGAAACATTGGTCCATTAATTTTTTACATGTTTTTGTGACAAACAGATGCAATTAAAATGCAGCAATGGCTAGCTGTTGATAAGGGATATAAAAGTGGGTAATGTTGTAAAATTAAAGCCTAACAGATGGAGTTGAATTTTACTCATCAGGAAGTAATTCCAAACAAGTTCAAAATATACTGGGTAGCATGAATTATTAAGCAGAATTTGAACCACACAGTTAGTGATTAATATCTTGAACCTTTTTCATATCTTCCAACTTAACCAGAAAAGGTTGCATTTCCTGCAAAAAATGCAAATGTAAATGCTGTATGCAAAGCTGTTATCTGAAAATGGCAGAACCAAAGAGAAATTTAAATGTTTGAAATTGTATGAAATTGCAGACAACTTAAATGCTTAATTTCTGAAATTACCAAAAGAAACATGGCTGAAATGTCATTAATGAGTAAGAAAAAGAAAACTCTTAATGCCTGTCCTGACAGATGGAAGAATCTATCCAAAGTTGACAACAAAAACCCTGCTGAGATCTAATAAATTAGCAAAATCAGCAGAAAAAAATTGTATAGTGAAACTGGAATCTTATTTGGTTAATCTAGTAGGATAGTGACTGAAATGTTAAAGAATACGGTATTGGATGAGGAGCTATGTGTAAATTCACTGGTTGAAATGTTAAGAATTGGCATAGCTGTTGCAAAACTTTCAGTTGACCAAAATATAGAAAAGAGTTTATGATGGCAGTAGTCGAGTTGTAAAAAAATGGAAGGGGGGATGGTGGAATTCTTTTTTTATTTTTTTGTGGAAGTATACATAGCCTAATTAATATAGTCTATTAATCTAAAGCACTATGCATGGTATGGTTGTTAAATGCCAGGTACGCTGTTCATTGACTTTGACCAAGGAAACTTTCAGTAGAACTGTAGTCAGTCCCTGGACTGGCATGGCTATCACTGCCCCTACATAGTTAGGGACAAATGCAGAGGAAAAACGTCCCACCGGGATCAGCTTTACAGTCATGGTAGGCCACTTCTTTGATTTTACTTTGGAAAATCTTTTGGCAATTAATCTATTAAGATTTGGAACAAAATGTCACAAAACATTGCAAATGAATATCTGAATCCTTTCAAGTCAAACATTTTTTTATTCAAATTTAGTTCATTTGAATAAAAATTTCTATATGATCAAAATGATGAAATGTTACACGGGATGTCATGAGGGGAAGGTAATTTAAGAAGGAGGATGATTTTTAAGATTTTTTTAAGAAGGGGGATGCCATCCCCCTCAACTTGAGTACTGGCAATAGGTATTTAGAGTTAAAGAGTATACTTGTTGCAGGTTTTTTTAGCACAACCAGCCTGAATGTGATCAAAAACAAACATTTCAGTAAAATAGTTCTTTACGGACCTTTAAAAAATTATATACATGGTTTACACATAAAAAACAGGGGTCAAATCCTGCAAATCTTGTCCAAAAATTAAACTGTCTCACTGTGAGGGATTGGCCTCACTAAGGAAGTGAAGGTGCAGCATGTCCCCCGACACTCTATGAAGTGATGTGTGTGTGTGTGTGTGTAGTCTGAGAGGACAGGACAGAAGATGAAAACAGGCATAAAATACCTGCATTTTATGTATCCCATTAAGAGTACGAGAGAGCAGAGGCCATCTCTTTGCAGCCTGCGATTCTTTACAAATATGGCCTATTACAGTGACTTTGTTTACATACAGCTGCGGCTAAAAAGTCTGTCCTCTCGGCCAGGCTTTAATACATGGAGGATTTTATGCCGAACAAATGCTCAAAACTCTGGCATAAAAAGTCCTTCTTAAACTGATCTATTGGGTTGTTTTTGGTCGAAAATATTTTTTTTAAAAGACCCAACACTGTTAAAAGAGAGGAACGTTTGCAAAATGTGCAAAAATGGCAAAACTTTGTGTTGAACAATGATAAATAAATCAATATGTATAATAGATACGGATAAGAGTGTTTGATCGTAACAATTAGCAAGCTTTGCAAAAACAATTATACCAGTGTTTTTGTTTCTACACAAAATGTTGTGCCATTGTGATGAGTTAAAAAAGGTGTAAAAATAGATGTTTGTTTTGAATTGTTCATTTTTCAGTGATTGGCAATTTTAATGCTCGCAAACAACCCAGCTGTGTAGCCAAACCACTACTGATATAGATAGTTCCTTTAATTGCAGTGCTAGAACGGTCTGAAGATTATGTGAGCCAATTCAGACTTATTGTATTCATGTTTTCACATCAAACAGTTTAGGAGAGATGGTGATTAAAAATGTTGTATAGGGTTTCAAAGTCTCCGTTCTTTGCTAAGATGGCCTACAGCTGTTACACCTTAATGTCTGCCGTTACTGTTACCGGCATAGCGGATCTTGTCCCGAACAAATTCCCTTTACTCTGGCTTAATAAGCCATATCAATGTTATTCTTCCTCCGTTCAAGACAGATAGGAGAAGGAAGTGTTGGGGCTGTTTTTCTGTATGGTACGGAAGCTAGTGCGACCTGAACTTAGACTTTGTTTTTTAGGACTTAGACAAATTTTGTCATTTTGTATGCACAGACTGAATACAAAACAAAATTTTGTTGCATACTGCTTACAACAGTGTAATGATATTGCAGTTGGAGTAAGACAAACATTACCAATATAAAGTGCAGCAGTGATCAGAATTTAACAATGTATAAAAGAAACCAGTTTAAATTCATGGTGCAAACGGGGATTACTATGAAAACGTTCAATGCGATGCAAAATGCAGTAGAACATTCAGTTGTGTCCCATTTTGAGATTAAGGATTATAAAAGTTTTGCAACTTTGGTAGTGCGAAATAATCCAGTTATTAATTAAAATAATCCAGAATGGTATTTAAGTGTTAGGTACTATGACTATTCTGGCCACTAGGGACCGCTGTTGGACACCTGTCTATCTTGCTTGTATTTTGGTTGTAGGTTTGTGTTTCCCTCCTCTGCCACCTGTTGTCAATTGTGCAATTAGTCTGTGTATTTATGCTCTGGTTTTTGTTTGTTAGGCACTGAGTCTTTGTCTAGCGTCTACTGTATGTCCCTGGTGAGCTACTCTGAATTATTTTTGTGCTTATGATACTTTGGGATCTGGCACCTTAATGCTTCTTTTATGTGTAGGAGAACTTTTGGTGTTACCAAACATATTTTTGTTCTATTTTCGATCCTTTGTACTACTTATTTCTGAAATGCCCCAGGACTTCTATTGTGGCTCTTCTGAGTTTTTTTGGTCATTCAACTGAGTTATGGGGAAAAATAAAAGGACATCTCTTGACTGGCATCTCTGCACTTAAGTCTTTTCCATCTACCATGACTGTAGCTCAGTGGTTACCACTTCCACCTGCCAAGCCGACAATCTAAGTTCAAATCCTGGGTCGGTCCTAACATTAGCTTGTTCAACAGTCTGATGGCGGTGGTGAAAATTTTGTTGCAGAATCTGCTTTGACGCACCTTCCCAAAAAGCAGCAGTGAGAACAGTCCATCTTTGTGAGGGGACACTGATGATCATAGGGCTCTGGTGTCTATGCCTCAGAGCTTCCCTTCCAGTTCTTTTCCTGGGAACATTCTGCCTAGTTTGACCACTTGAATACTACATAAAAAACACTAATAACAGTGGTAAAAGTTTAACAGAATTTATTCCAGATCAGATCGACTCAGAACAGAGAAATTGCAGTGTGTTGGCAAGCTGTGGGCTCAGGTGGTCAGCATGCAAAGGCATCCAAAGATATAAAGTACTTTTTAAAACACACGGCACTCTTTGAAAAATTAGGGAATTTTGCAAAGTCTGAAAAATGTAACTATGATTAATAAATCCTAAAGTGTAATAGATACATATATGAGTGTTAGACTGTGGAACACATTGCCTTTGATCAACAACACTCATGTTTCTTCAAATAATGATGTGGCCATTGTGATAATGTAATAAAGTGAATCATTTTGAAAGCTCTTAGTCTGAGGCTTTTTCAGTGAAAGAGCATTTTACTGCCACCAAATTACCCAGCTGAAAGGAAAAACCATAATAAATATCGAAATCCTGATATAATCCCTACTTTTAAATTTATGATTTGATTGTGGAAAAGTTGAGTGAGTGAGCAGAATTAGTTTGCCATGAGTAAAATGCTTGTGCATCATAAAGTGACACACTAGCGGCACAAACATTCAGTCATTGACTTCAATTATAAAATCAAAAATCTGTAAAAAAAAATGTTAAAAAGTTTGAGGCATCACTGAATCAAAACTGTAAAAGATTTAAAAAAAGCTGAGCTAATAGAAAAAAGTTTCAGAAATGTTTTAAAAGTTGAATGGTTGTTTGTTGCTGAAAATATAAAGACCATTCATGTCAGTAGCAGTGAAATTTTGCAGAATAGGGCTAAATATTTCGAAAATTATAAAATATATCACTAGCAAAAGGGATAGCTGAACGTTTTAGAGGTTAGATGGTGAAAATAGCAAAATAATTTGTAGGAGTAGATGTGAATCAAATGTTGAAACTAAGAAGAATAATAACAAAGAAAAAAGAAATAAACAGAGAAACAGCTTCTACAAACTCACAGCATAATTTTAGGTAGTTATTTATTGAGGCTGAAATATTATGGATAAAGTACTTTTTTTAAATGCAGCATAAAGAGAGAGAAAAGCACGCTGACTTTCAGTCTAATTGAGGCCAGAAAAACAAAGCTGCAGGGGTACAGATTGTGTTTGTACCATTTTCTCATTTTCATTTGCTTCCTATTTTTTGCTGTTGCAGTCAGTGGTAGTACTTATTCGCTCCACCGGCAATATTGGTTTCACCACCCACCCACCTTTTTTTTTTTTTTTAAGCTGCAATACATTGCGTTTGATATGTTACCAACAAAAAAAAACAAAAACAAAAAAAAGTGCCTTGAATACTTTTCACATATCTTTTTTATGGATCAGTTATTCGTGTTATTGATGGAATCAAGGACAGTGCAAACACATCCACTCTCAACTCTGTCTTCACTGTAACTACTGTATATGGGAGCAATCAGTGCAACCTGATCATATTCTACAATTTTCTTTTACTTTATATTTCCTGTTTTCCAATACACCTTTTAACATGACTCATGTGAAAATAGTCATATAAAGGGGATACTGTTTTGTTCAAAATAATGTTGGATTTTGAATTAAAAAAATAAAGAAAATGTCTGAATTATTTTAATTTGCTTCATGTTGCTTTTAGCACAAAAGGTAAAAATAAAACTGCCATGCTGCTCATTATCTGACCCAGCAAATTTATACACATAACTTTTAAGTCACTTAAATTAAGTCATAGTGACATTAAGAGGTCACTTTTATAAATTCCAGTTAGAATCTAGCTTGGAAACTATACAGTTAAGTTCACTTTATGATTAAGTTGGTAACAGTTTTTTTTTTCTTAAAAAAATTCATCAGTTCTATCGAGTGAGCGACTTTGCAGAAATAACTCTGCCTTGATGAGAATTTAGCCTTTAACCTTGCACCATTAATTGCATTGTGTTGTTGTCTTTGCAGCAGTCTTTAAAAATAGTATTCAAATAGTAGTAAACAGGAGAGCTTCCTTTTAAAAAGAAGTATCCTTGAGAACAATTGTTTTATGATGATGGCCATTTGTCACGACTGACCAGGGATTTTCTAAGGAAAGCAGAACTGCCTTGATATCTTCGGAGAGGCTTCATCTTGAAAGAGCTCAGCATTTGGTATGAAATTGGAGCCAGTTATAAAATCTAAAGAATAACATTGTATACAGTTAGAGGCGACACTATCTCTAGTTTTTGTTAGATGGAGTAATTATTTCTCTAACAACTGATAGAGTTTAATAATTATGTTATTTTTTTTACGGATTTTAAAGACAGCTAAAAAGAGGCTCTAAATCAGATAAAATATACTTACATTTTTATCAGATCTCCAACTACAGCATTAGGGAGCACAAGGTTTTTTTGGGCGTTATAATTTAGAAATACTTTAGAAGTGAAGCAGGTCATGTATAAAACCCTCTAAAATTAGATCTAAATAACATGACTAGGTCCCATATGTACCGTTGTTAACATTTCTACTGTGTATTGCGTATAGATCTTTTATATAAGCAAACTGACACTATAGGCATTCAAATAAAAGTATAAGTGCATTATACATTTAGAGGTTACCTAAAAATAGTGAGTGGTTGATATAAGTTGGAAATAATTTTTATGATACTTTGTGTGTATTTCAGGAGCTGATCACCACTCTGTATATTGGGTTTCTGAGCCTGATCTTCTCCTCATACTTCGTCTACCTGGCAGAGAAAGATGCAGTTGATTCCACAGGTTCCACTGGCTTTGGGAACTATGCAGATGCTTTGTGGTGGGGAGTGGTAAGTCTACCCATGTTGGTTTTTGCTGATTGTATATATATTTGTACAGTTATTAAAAAAAAATAAGCATACAAGTGTTCCATCTGTAGGGCTGGGTATTGTTCAAAAATTTTCGGTTCCGGTACCAATACCGATACCTTCACTTCGATACCGGTTCCTGATCGATACTTTTTTCGATACCAGTTTTATAATATCAATTCGAAGAAAACGAAAATTACACAACATAAAAAAGTACAAATCTTGAGTTTTATTCTAAGCTCTGATTTTTCCATTTACATTTTTCCTCTTACATAAAAAAAAAATAACCAGTGTCTAATATTCACTGTTACATTGTGAGGACCTTTTTACTTAGCAGTTTTCCTTTAGAAAAATGACCATGTCTGACAAACAAGCCCGTTGAATGGGATCCTACTGACAGCGCACCGCTGGTATGTCGGGGTCTGAGCGGCTTTGACAGAAATAATATTGGAAGGCTGATATTGATGAACTGACTGCACTGATTAAGTTTTCAGGTGGATTTTCCGACTTAAAAACATAATAAAACTACTTTATTCCCACTAATAACAGCAAATATAGCTGCAAGGCAAATAAAGGATAGAGTAGCTCCGCCCAACGCGCGTCAGAGCCACTTTTCGACCGCGCAGCCAGAGCAGCAAAGCTTCTTCAGAAGCGCATCAGAAGCTGTTACAAGCAGCAAAAAGGAAGCAGCAGACGTGATTTTGCTGCTCCTGCTGCATCCAGTTTGAAAGCAGCATTATTCACTCCGCTCTGGCTTTGCTCTGCCCGCGGGCTGCTGAGAGGAGGATGGTTGCGCCGGCTGCGGTCCGCTCTTCTTGCAGTCAAACACCGAGCAACTTTCTGCTCTTAAATTGTTTCCATGCACGATGCATTGCATTGCGCACTATTGGCATCAGTCTTAATAAAGTGAAGCCACACTTTTGACCTGGGGGGCATTTTAAAGGGGTTCCATGACGCTGCAACCAGTTCACAACAGATACACATGAACCCTGGCTGTAGGCGTGACCACCTGTGTATTTTTCCTGGATGACGCAATCACGTTAAGTGTTACAGCCAATCACCGAAACTTGGTACCGAAAGACGAGGCATGTTTCGATACCCTGTAGAACCGAAGCATTTCGGTCGGTACCATAAAAGAACCGAAGTTCGGTACCCAGCCCTATCCATCTGTAGTACTTAAGAAGGAAAGTAGCCTAGCTGATGCACTTAGTGAATTGTTAGCAAATATGACTCACTCTATTAAAGCAGAAAAAGATGGCAGTTTGCTGATCTTGAGTGTAGTGTTTTTCAACAGCCTACTAAAGAGTAAAACAGGCCCTGAGATTGTTTTATGTGTTCCCTTCATCTTTACACCATCTTGAATCTGTTAAGAAGCTGCTGAAAACCCATTTATTTAGTTTAGCTTTTATCTAGTTTTAGGCTATATGATGTGGCCTATATGCTGTTTTTATTTTGTTTTGTTTTTATGGTCATATCATTGTGAAAGTCTTTGTTGTTTTTTATCCTTTGAAAGATGCTATTTTAATAAAGTGCTCTTAGTAAAAGGCATCAGCAATGACAGTGATTGATAGGCAGTGGAAAAAATCAATCTCTATTGCCTAGAAATCTGGAAAGGGTTAGAAGACAATTTCTGAAAAGTGTTAAGTTAATCTTTTTAGAGATGAGGAAGAAAATATTCACAAATTAACATTTATGATAGTTGCCAGTCTTCCGAGGAGTAGATGTCTCTGCAAATTTACCCCTGAGTCAGACTGTGCCACTAACAAAAATTGTAGTATATCAGATGCCACTGCAGATCTTAATGACATACTGAATCAGTCATTTAGCAAAATGTCAGCTCTTCTGGAAGAAGGACACAACTACAAAACACAAAACAACTCATGACAAATGTGAAATCTTATAATTATGTGAGTTATAGAATTGTGCATCATTTTTTAAAGTACTGCATTCATGCATAAACATGTAATTCATCCATATGAAATTTCTACTTGGTTTTATTTATACACTTTGGTAGTTCATCAACTGTGTTAATGATCGTGCTTAAATAATCCAACAGCAAGGGAGATATTTGGACTTAACTTTTACAAATGTTCTAAATTGGAGTTTGCATTCATATTTTTTAGACCAATATAGATTTGTTGTCATTTAATACTAAACTACACCTTCCCATCATGCTGACTCCAGAGTAAGACTCTAACCTTAGGTAACCTTTATTCAGTATACTTTTTGATAATTTCCTGCTAAAACCATTTTTTTTTTTTGTTCTCAATGAATAGTTGTTTTCTTATTTTCTTCTCTGTTTAGAAGGAATTGTTAAAGGCATACTGAAAGCTGGTTAAATGTTTTATAAGTTTGTGCTGCATCAATGCATGTTATGTATATGGGCTTCGAAATAGTTGGAGACTATAAAGATGTAGTGATTTTTTTAAAAAGAGACATAAGACTGTTTTGTTAATATTGAAATGGTCAATATAAACCATTTCAATAAATATAGGGGGAGTGTTGGCCTAGTGGATAAGAGCTCTGAGAATGTTGCATGTACCCGGGTCGATACCCACAGCCTCCACCCTGGGTTCCCGAGCAAAACCCTTTACCCCTGATTACTTCCCAAAGGAAGTATGAAATTGCAGACAATGAATTTCCCCATTGTGGGACAATAAAGGGATTTACATTACAATATTGTGTTGCTTGTTAAGAGTATTGTATGTTTAACATTTGGGCAGAAGATTTGATTAAGAGTTACCTTAAATAATTATTTTATGAAAAGAAAACAATATTAAGATAATTATTGTATATCACCATACAGCTCAATATATTAAGATATTAGTTTTGGTTCACATCTGCAAACAGAAAAAAACCCTACTCAAATTCATTGTCATATAGTATCCAGAATAATAATAGATAACATACATTTTTTAACAGTTTTTATACAAATACAATTGTTTGCAAATCTTTTTTAATTATACCTGCAACGATATCAAACATGACAGTTACCTAGAACATTCCAAAGAAAAATCTATAAAGCTAATTTTTTACAAAAAAATATGGGTGGGATTAAAATAAGAAAATATATTAGGGAATTAAACAAATTAAAATAAATCAAATTAAAAATGAAATAAAAGAAGTAGAAAAAGGAATATATTGCAGAACTATAATTTATTCTAGAACAATTATTTTTTTTGCTCTAGTTGTTTGTATTAGTTTTATGCAAAACCTTAAAAACATCAAAAAGTCTAACTTTATAGAGGAAAAGGATGGAAAATGTCATCACAAAATAACTTTTTTAGAGGGAGGGTTCATTGTAAGTTTATCAACACCAAACATCCTTAAAGCTGGGACAACTTCCACATTACTTTAAATAAAGGGACTGCTGTTCAGGAAATGTTGTTCAGAAAAGTATTTTTGATTAGGACACATGAAATGTAACGACCATACGGTAATTTTCAATGTCTCTGTTGCCTTTGCACCTATTATTTTATATACGCTCAACAAAAATATAAACGCAACAGTTTTGGTTTTGGTTCCCCTTTTTATGAGATAAACTCAAAGATCTAAAACTTTTTCTACATACACAATAGAACCAATTTCTTTTGTTCAGATAATTCATCCCACATCACAGGTGTGCCATATGAAGATGCTGATTAGACAACATGATTAGTGCACAGGGGTGCCTTAGACTTCCCACAATAAAAGGCCACTCTAAAAGGTACAGTTTTATCACACAACACAATGCCACTGATGTTCGCAAGATTGGAGGGAGCGTGCAATTGACATGCTGGCAGCAGAAAGCAGAAATGTCAGCCATTGTCTTGAATGTTAATTTCTCTACCATAAGTCGTCTCCAAAGGTGTTCTACAAAATTTGCAGTATATCCAACCAGCCTCAGAACGGTAGACTGCGTCTATCCACACCTGCCTAGGACATCCATATCCAGCATGTTCATCTCCAACATCGTCTGAGACCAGACACTCAGACAACTGCTGAAACAATCAGTTTACGTAACCAAAGAATTTCAGCAAAAACTCTCAGAAACCATCTCAAGGACAGCTCATGTAGTCTAGTATCTTGTTTGCAATTAAGGATAAAACTTAGTACCTGTGGTAATGTGTCCCGAAGCATATTCAGTAGTGATCTGTATCTGTTTATAGTTGCACATGCACAAATGAGCTGTTTGTATGGATTGTGCTTCTCATATAGATTGGGCAGTGACATGGCATCTGGCCAAAGTTTCCTTATCAAATCATTCCATTGGCTAATCTGAGTGTACACACTGATTTATGATCTGGGTTCCTTGTTGCACTCTCAACACATCCGCACAGTAATCAGTGTGAGCCATGAATTATTGTCCCACATTGGGAAATAATTATTCTTGGTGCACCAAGGGCAGGACAGTCTTTCACAAGAGGGGATTCAAAGCTCAAGCAGCCCATGATGCGCCGGATGGGAAACATTGTCCTATCAGCTGTTATTTTTAATGGAATCCTGTCTATTACCACCTAACTTGTATTTAGGGGGTATCCTAAGACAGACTTTACCTCCCAGATGTGCTTACACTATACAAGAGCCTCTTCCTCTCAGCAGTGCAGAAGCTTCTGCTCTTTTTCCGAATACCATGGATGATGACTGATGCCATATGAATCCAAAAGGCCTAAAGGAGAGCACACTGCACTCCAAAAAAAAAAAACTCAAGCTCCTGAACAGGTAGATACTGCTCCGACTGTTCCTGTAAGCAATGTTGTATTGTGACACCAGTGTAGTTTGCTGTTCAGGTGAACACCTGAACCCCGAAATTCCACAACCCAACAAGTACACTTACCTGCTGAGAGCCTGACGGATCAACTGCTTAGTTATGTAAATTAATGAGACTCTAGTCCCTTGAGACTCCACTCAAACCTTTTGGAGTTTAAAGAACTTTCACAGACATGCAAAAGGTGGTCTGCAACTGACCTGAGAAGTACACGAGCAGAGGATGTAGAATCTGGACTTGATACTTGCTGTATTAAAGTCTACTTTTTCAATTTCAGTTCCCTGGATAAGCACTTCTGTTGGTGTGAAGGGTCTGTGACTGGAAGTCCACTAGCAGTTAGGTTTTCCTCCAATTGATTAAGAGGTCGCTCTGCTGACACCATTCCACACAGTTTTAAGTTAGATGTTGGTACTTTCTTATGATGAGGTAAACTATGGCAGAGTTGTCCAAGAACTGGGGAGTTGCTGGAGAAGTCTAAAGTGTGGAGGGTAAACAGGAAAGGTGCCAGGACAGTTTCCTGCATGGTTGCTGTACTGCACACCAGCCTCTCAGTAATACAGCCCTGTGTCCTCCCATATTGTAGCAGCCAGTGTGTTATAGTCCCAACCAAGGGGACAGACAGTAGTTAACCACTGACAGCTCCAGCCTGTCCCTCAGAATTCAGTAAATTACTGCTTTATAGCTGGGGAATAGTTAGTTTGGATATTGTTAAATACTATAATCAATAACAGATTTGCTACTGATCTTTATTTATGAACAGATTTTTAAAGTATTGTTCTTTTAAAGTACCTTTACTACCCTAAGGCAGTATTTCTTGAACTATAAGAGGTCAAACACAGTATGTGTTTTATCCGAGTTTTTGTTCTGAAGTAGGAGTGGGTAAACTCGTGGGTAAATCCAGTGGGCTGCTAATGCAGGCACTAACACGAATATCGAAGAGAACATGGGATGAACTTCAGCTTTCTAAAAACTCCAGGGTCTGTTAAAAGCACACACATGTTCAATTGCATCGATAATCTTTCTTACATAAATGAAAGTCATCGATAATCTTTCTTACATAAATGAAAGTTTCTGTTATCTGATATTTATCCATTTTTACACACAGTGATTTTTTGCTCTTCTACAGCAGGAACATGGGAGAGAGAGCCAAAGAAGATAAAAGTTCAATAATAATGTGGTCAGAAAGACGGTGAATTTATTTGACACAGCAGGTGTTGTCTTGAGCATTTCCCTCTTGTTTGAGATAGGTCATGTCTTAAGGACATGATGATTTTCCAGGAATCACAAATTATACAATATATATATACCGTATATAGATATATATACAATCTGCTTAATTTATTTTTTATCTGTGTAGTAAGGCAAGGCAATTTTACTGATATACAGTAGCATATAAACAATTTAAATAGCGTATATTAATAAAAACATGAAGAGGATAGAAGTGATGCATTAATTACAGAATATTATATGAAAAAGTTATGACTGAGAAAAATTGAAAAAAATATCTGATTATTCAAAATGAAACAGACTAGAAACTTATAGTGTGTGGATAACACACTCAAAGGCTCCTCTTTAACAATGGGTTTTATATACATTTATTTAAAGTAAACTGAGGGTTTAATAATTTTTACAGCTTTCTGGGAGTTTATTCCAGATTACTGGCGCATAAGCATTAAAATTTGTTTCTCCATGTTTGGTTTTGTTTCTGGGTATGCAGAGTAGAATAAACCTGAAGGCCTGAGAAGTCTCAGTGGTTCCACTGACAGCAAGTCTATAATGTATTTTGTAAGCCATTAATTGATTTACACACCATCTGAAGTATTTTAAGTCTGTTTGCTGACATGTGGGAAGCAAATGTAATGATTTTAGAACTAGGGTAATTTGCTTCCCTTTGTTTGTTTTTGTGAGGATGCAGGCAGCAGTATTCTGAATCAGCTACAGCTCTGAAGACCTCTGAAGACACCTTTGCAGTAATCAATTTTCTTAAGGATGAACACATAAATTATATTTATCATTTATTATTTTTTTTTTATTTGTCTGACTAAGAAATGTGTCCTTTATTCCCGGAGAGGTTTTTTTAGATGATAGAATATCAACTTTATTACTGACTATATCTGCCTTTGAAGATTCAGGTCTTAGTCCATCTGGACACCCAGATTTAGCCTGATCTTTGTTTTCTGGCTGTATCAGTGAAAGTTGTGTACTTACTTTTGAAAGCTCTTTTTTGGTCCAAAGACTATTATTTTATCTTGATTTAGATGAAGAACATTCTTGCAGATCCATGCATTAATCCAATGCTTAAAGAGGTTTAAAGTCACCTATAATGTACAGCTGTCTGTACAATATGGTTATGGTTGCTTATTGTTTTTACAATTATCTAAGTTAGGGGAAGCATGTAGAGATTGAATAAAAGGCCCCTAAAAAGGATCCTTAGGAAACACCATATGTGATTTTTGGGGCCTCTGATATAAAGTTACCTATTTACACATTAAAGGTCCTGTTCTACAGGTAGGATTTAAATCGGTATGCTAAGTAGAGTGATCAACAGTGTTAAATGCTTCACTAAGGTATCTATGTAATTATATGAAACATTATGTGATTTCTTTTTTATAGCACAGATTTATATAAAACATTCAAATATTATTTTTTTAAGCATAGGTTGAAACTAGGTGAAGATATTGTTAAAAGACAGCTAGATGGGTTTCAAGATTCAAGTTTCTACACCTGTTCAGGAGGCTTTGTATATTTGCGTATATTTGGATACTCAGGCATATACCACTTCAAGCCATTATTTGAAACATACATGATTGTTCTTATTTGCTATGTGGTGATGTTGTGAAGGAGAGTTGTGTTGATCAAGGTACAGAAAAAAGTTTGTAAGTAGCATAATAATTTGGAAGTTAATGATAGACTTACAGAACAGTGCCCGAACACAAAGACAAAGAAAAGCTTAAAATAGGCAATTATGCCCTATTTTGTGGGAGTGAATTACAATCCAAATATAATTAATTCCTGGTTGTTTTTTTCATGCTTTAGGAAAAAGTTACCAAAAAATTTCATGTAATTTATAGTTCTGCAAGGTATTGTAGACTGACCATAAAATTATAACAACTGCAAAGTATAATGCTTGATGTGGTAAACTTTTGTACCAGAAAATCCTTCACATGTTTCTTTTTTTTATTCAACTTAAAACTGCAAAGAATTTCCATATGAAGTTGTTTAAATTTATTAGTATGCTTGTAGGTGTTGTTTTCAAAATCAAGCAGTGATGAGATTTTCTATTCCTGCTTTTATTTTTAAGGTGACTGTGACTACAATTGGCTATGGAGACAAAGTACCACAAACCTGGATTGGAAAGACCATTGCATCCTGCTTCTCAGTGTTTGCGATCTCTTTTTTTGCTCTGCCTGCAGTAAGTGGAAACATTGAGAGTGTTTTCTTTGTTTTGTGAAAATGCAAATGATTAGTTTTGAAGGTCTTGTAGTAGAATTATAATACTGTAAGCTATAATGCATAATTATCTAGAAACGAATAATAGATATAACAGGCACAGCTAACAAAACTAAAAGCATGACTGTCTGTCAGAGATGGATTACATATTCAATGGACAGATGACACATGAAAAAATAAAAGCCATGAGTTAAATTAATTGACATTTGAATTAAATCCACAGGTGTGCACCATAAGCTACTAAATTATAGACTCCCAGGCATATCAACCAAGCGAGCAAACATTTGGTTTGTTGTTTTGCTCCCCCTGACACTGACTGGAAGAAATGTAAAGTAGTTAAAACTAAAGTCGGCATATTGGATGTAAATACACACTGTCTTTCTATTTTGCTTAAACAAAAAAGGGTCATTTAAAATAACTATATGAACTGTAAGACATCAATAACTTACTGGATTGTTACAAAAGAGAGACAAAAATAGTTTCAAAGCTCAAGTCATGCTTCTTAACCCTATGAATTTTTATTCAGGACAATTTTTAGACACAGTGGCAAATTTTGTTGAACAGATTCGGTTATCTACAACTATAAAATGATCAAGAAAATCAGTACACTACCTAAAATATGAATGAGTATTAGATCATAGAGAGAATAAGTGTCAAGCACCTAATGATTTCTGAAAAGATTATCTTGGACTTTATTTTTATTTCAGACTCAATTGACCAAACTGGATTGACTCACTTGTTTAGATCTACAGCAGCCTCATTTAATATAGTGAATGTTATTTTTTATTTTATTTCTTTAGCAGTGGAGGCTTATGCTTAGAAACCACTCTGACTAAGAGTCTTACTTACTGATTTCTAGAGAAAATGCTCCCATTAACAATGTATCTAAATATTTAATACTTATGTAAGCAGCATCTTAATGCAGTCTGTGTAAATTTGTGTGCCTTAAATTCTGTTCTTCAGTAAAATAAAATGTTTTTTTTAATCTTCATCTTTAGCTTTTTTTCAGGTCAAATCTAAAGGAGTAATGCCAACATTAAATGTTCAGTGGAATTATATATCTGTGCACATTGAATTGCTTAAGCCCATGTCACATCTTAACCATTTAGCCAGACGTATCAGAATCTTATAAAACACTGGCATATGCTGAACTTTCTATGTGTTTTTTCAACTTTGGGTGTATGCATAATGAGTTCACAGTGTATGTGTAACAACAGCCTAACTTATGCATAACGCACGGCAGCATAATGCCCATGAAACGTCACACGCCAGTGTCCTGAGGGGGGCACCAATGTGTCCGGAGGCATCCGGCCTGCAATAAAAGATTTATTTGGTCACAGTATTAAACTAGCTGCTGTTTACCACCAGCCTAAAAAAAAAAATAGAATAAATAAATAAATAAAAACAAAATGAAAGAAAGAGGGTTTGTAGTCGCAGCAGATTTGGCATCATGTCTGCTGTGAAGTTTGTTGGTCGTGGCCATGGGTGTGAACACAGAGCATCCCTCACACTCACCTTCATGCTCACCCTATGATGTTGATGAAGTCTGGAGGAGTACAGATGTTTTCCTCCTGTGAACCCCTTTTATACCAAAACGCTGCCCTGAACCAGTGTGTTTCAGCGTACTGCAGCGTGCTTCAGCATCGTCATAACTTATACAAAACGTACCCATAACCTATCCAACATATGCCATTGTGTTTGCCAGATATTCCATACGTCAGGCATACACTGGCTAAATCGTCACAGTGTGACAGGGGATTTACTTCCAGCTGAAGAGATAAAGCCCTAAAAATGTATGCTTTGTGTTGCTGTTTCATATTTCTGCTCTGATCTCTGTTCAACGTGTTTTGTTCTCACTGTTGTTTGTTAGTACTTTTATATAATGGTTATATCATGGTTTTAAAGGCTTGATGTAAACATAAAGAAGCATGTTAAAAGAAGTCTGACATGGGTTAAATAAAGTTGCCTTTATATACAGAATCTGTAGTAATAGAGGTGAGAAACATCTATCCATCCATTTTCTCCTGCTTAGTCCTTACCAGGCCCACAGTGAGAAACACCATTTTAATATTTTTAGTGACAAGTATGAACTATCTAATCCTCTTGTTCCTATAATATATTTAAAATATGTGAATATTTTGAAACTGTGCTCAGATTAATTTAACCAGCATTCAATATGGTCACTGCCTCTAAAATGTAAAGAGAAAAAGAATGTTACAAAAATAAAGTTGACTTCAAGAATCATACGTGGTATTTAACATAATATTTATTTAAAAATAAATCTAAGATTTGGAGACTGAAATGTTTTTCCAATTAAGCATCTTATCTACACTCTTTCTTGCTAACATTCATAGCCACGTCTGTGGGATAAAAATGAAATAAACAAGAAAAAAATCTCCTATTTGTTGTTGCTGTTGTTCACAGGGAATTTTAGGCTCTGGCTTTGCCCTGAAGGTGCAGCAAAAGCAAAGACAGAAACACTTCAACAGACAGATCCCTGCAGCTGCCTGTCTCATACAGGTAAAAAACACAAAAAAACAACAAAATTCAAAGAAAATCTCAGAAAAGCTTGGGGCTGGGTCCTAACTCGTATTATTTAGACCAAACTGTCATGCATCTTTTTCTGTCTCTTTAAAAATGTGGTCAGGGCTGAAGTATATCCTGTCTTTGCAATAAATTTCTATTTCCATGCCTCTACAGACATCATGGAGATGTTTCGCAGTGGAGAACTTTGATTCAGCTACATTCAAGCTGTTTTTGAGAAAGAAATCCAACATCCCTGCCTCTCTATCCACCCCCAAGCAGAAAAAAATGGTAATAGTTTTAAAGATTTCATTCCTCTTCTTTTTATCACATTTTCAGATAAACTCACTCAAAAAATATAGTTTGAAGGGAATAGACATGTAACTCTGTGAATTGTGAATCAAGACCAGTTAAAATGTGAAAGTTTATTTCCTTTTTTGCAAATGTTTTTCTTTTTTTAATCCGTTTTATAACATTTTTCTCATGTGAAGAAAGAGGAAAATATAGGACAGAAAGTGCAGCACCATTTGCAACTATATTGGAGAGACTTTAGGAGCTCGCATAAGAATACTGCGTAACCCAAATCCCTTGATACTCTTCAAACTATGTCACACATTGCATTTCTTGTGGCTTGGATTTTAAAAAAATCATACCGGATTATGCTGATGACTTGTGACATTTAATTATCTTCTTGAGGTAGGTGCATTTAACAGAGAGCAATTTTTGAATAGGTTTCAAAGAAAGACAGAGAAAAGACATCTATGTAAAGATTTGTGCTGGTTTTGCTTTTTTTGTTTTGTTTTAATCATATGTTTCAGATCATCCAGCTAATTCCATTATCAGATGAAGACAGAATTGGTAAACAAGAAATAAGGTTGTTTCATTTAAGTGGTGGGGGGTGGGGGGGGGGGGTGGTTGTTGAAACTAACCTAGCTTAATGTGAGTATCTTAACTGGATTTAATTTTGAATTTACACACTTGGAGCGAGTTTTGGGGCGGCTTAGAGCACAGCTCTGCTCCTTAAGAAAATTTAGCAAATTAATTGATATTTAATTTCACAAATTAATAGCCACACATAAAAAGCATGCACACATAAAAAGCAGCATTTGGGTTTTTATTAATTACACAAGGTGTCTTGATCCTGAAGCAGGAAAGCAATCTAAGAACATCACAGTCTAATTACCATATTTGATAAGATGTTGCACTTCTGAAATGTTAGTTGTATGCAGGATGGTATGTATTGCACATCCTATATCCTACATCTGTGTCATAACAGTTTATTTTCTAAGGGAATATTAGTGATGTTTTTATCTTTTTGGTCAGCACTATATTTTAGCTCAGAACTCTTTTATGAATATGATATTTACCTAGTCTCTTTCTTATTGTTTAACTATAAACTCAGAACTTTTTTTTTTAGCTTTATCCTTATTGCTTGAATGAAATCGGGATTCAATCTACCTTTAAAGTAGACAGGTTGTAATTGTATAGGAAAGACCTGTATTTCTGTGACCTTTAACCTTATTGATGATTTTATTTTAAATACTGTTGGCTTCTTGTGTCAAAGCACATAATGAAAGTCAGGTGTAGATCACCTTACACATTTAAATCACTGTGACTGATATGAGGCTAGAATGATTCATAAAAAAACATTTGTAAATGTGAAAATGGTAGTGTAACATCAGACCTATTTATCACATTTTCTTAAAAAAGCACTATAATATATGAATATACTCTTTTATTTAAATCATTAGTAATCAATTTAAATTTAAGAATTAAGGACAGAACAATGTTTACCGCTTTGATAAATGCATCTCAAATGACGTTATTTTCACATTGCAAATAAAAATATTCCCACTTTTTAATGTATTGAATTTGTAGCACTCTTTGCTTTAAACACCTCCTGAGATTGCAGTTGTTCCTATTTATCTACAGGTTTGTTTTTTTGTGACCTTTTTAGATTTCAGACACAAAGGTTGCCAATGTCTTTAGCAGTTAAGGTTCTACAGCAGGACCTTGTTTTCATTCATAGCCACTCACGTCCAGCCTGATCCTGCAGGTGTTGTGATGGCCACGCCTGGTACTAATGTCAGTCTAAAGTAAATTAGAAAGAGCAAAGCCTTTAACTGATACCCCTTCGACCAGCCGTGGTGGCAGCAGAGACTCCAGAACTTCCCCCTCCGCAGACACCTCCTCCAGCTTTGCTTGGGGAAGCCCCCAGGCCAACCAAGAGATGTAGTCCCTGTCCTGGCCTCCTACCAGTGGGACATGCCTGGAACATCTCCGAAGGAGTCATCCAGGTTGCAATACGAAACCAATGTTGGAGGTGGGCGTGCAGGTGGCGCAGTGGTTAGTGCGCATGTACCCATGTGCGGAGGCCTTAGTCCTCGATACGGCTGACCTATGTTAAAATCCGACCTGTGGTCCTTTGCCGCTTGTATCTCCCCCCTCTCAAACCCCCTTTCCTGTCAGCCTACTGCAGAGGTGTCAAGTAAAGAAGTACAAATACTTTGTTACTGTACTTAAGTACACTTTTTAGTTATCTATACTTTACTCCATTACTTATTTTTGTTACTACTTCTGACATCTACTCATTACATTTTCACATAAGTATCTGTAGTTTGTATTTCTTACATTTTTAAAACAAACGTTACCATTACTTTTGGCTTCGGATTAATGTTTACAAATGTTTATTTCACGTCATGTGCGCCATCCAATGCAGATCATTGGCGCCATCCACATCTAGTGAAAACCAGTGTAATTGGATGAGTCATATAACGCAAACACTCATTGGTTAGCTAATGGAAATCATTAGAAGCAAGCAGGTGTTCTTCAAACTGCAAACGCATATTGTCCATGTCATGCTACTATGACGGATTCAGAAAAAGATGTTGAAATTTCTGAATGGTCGGACACAGGCAAGAGCGTATTGGGAGATGGAGAAGGAGACCAACAAGACCTCCCTCATCCTTGGCCCTATCTCAAAGAATTTTTTGAAATAGTTGAAAAATTTTGCTTTAAAATTCATATAGTGGCATCTGGCTGTTTTTTTTTTTAAGTTTACTTTATGCTTTTATACTTTTTGTAGTTTTTGGAGCTCATACATTTTCACTACTTGAGTAAAGAGGTCAAGTTAATACTTCAACTTTTACCAGAGTGTTTTTAAACTGCAGTATCTACACTTCTACTTAAGTAACAAATGTGTGTACTTCTGACAGCACTTTTGCCGTAAAAACTCAAAAAAAAAAAAAAGTTGTCTAAGGAAGTGCACAGCCCCCTTGCTGAAAAAAGCTCATTTCAGCCGCTTGTATCTGGGACTTTGTTCTTTCAGTCATGATCCAGATTTTATGACCATATATAGGTAAGTGTAGGAATGTAGAGCGACCAGTAAATTGAGAGCTTTGTCTTTTTGCTTAGCTCTCTCTGCATGCGTCTATCAATCTTCCACTCCATTCTCCCTTACCTTGTGAAAAGGACCCAAAGACATTGAACTTTTCCACCTAAGGCTGGAACTCTTCTCCAAGCTGAAGGGGTAAAGTCACCTTTTTTCAGTGGGTAAACATGGCCTCACACTTGGAGGAGCTGATTCTCATCCCACCCTCTAAATGATACCACTTGGACTAGTCCTAATTAATATCCTCATCTGATATTATATATTTGTGCAGTCTGAAGCATGCAAGTGTGATAATAAAGCAAAAGTGAAATATATCTAAGGGCCAATACAACTTTCAAACCACTATATATAACCTAATTTTAGGGCTTTGTGTGATTAAAAACATGAGAACATTACACAAATAATATGAATCTTTAATTTTCACTTTTTGTAAAACCATATTTTTACATGCTAATTAAATAGAATACATGATGTCTCCACTTCTTCAGTGGGCCATAATTTATCTGCCAAGCGTTGCTTTTGAAAAGAAATTGATCTTTTGTTTGATGTTATAGGCCACTTTGGCCTTGGGGTTGTTGGGTGAATTGCTTTTTCCATACATATATCATTAGATCCCATCAGACTAAGCCATTAAGAAGTTTTTCATGGCCCATTGATATGCTACTGAGAGGGACAGGTAGGGGGCTACCATTGCTTAGGGCCAGTACAGTAAACGTAAGAGCTGTCGACTTCATAAAAGAAGAAAAGAAATTGGGTAAAAAAACAAGTGTTGATGAAACATTTACTGAATAAAAAAGAATATTGCTGTTCAACATGTGTCCGGCTGGTAACTTTATATCAGTTTTCAAAATGTTACGGCTGATGTACATCCCTTTGAGCATTTCCTTCATGTCACTTTGTGGGGTTTTTGTTTCAAAGGTCAACAATGTAACCATTACAAGAGCAAAATGACAAGAATCCACATTTTTGACATGTATCATTTGAACATTTTAAACATTTTTTTTATTTGTGCAGGTGAAGATGAGGAGGAAGATGAAGAGTACTGACAGAGACAATGGTCCAGCTTCTCCCACAGTCCCAAGTATCACCTGTGACTCTGTGTTTGACAGCGGAAGGGAGCTAAGTTCAGATGTTTACAGCACTGTTGGGACAGGTACTACAACAGAACAAAGACAATATAAAGGTTTTGCTTCATCTTTATTTAGTACAGGCAATTTATTGATTAAACACTCTGATAACTCAAATTAAATTAATTTTACTGTAACAACTTATATTTAAATCTGAAAAACTCACACGGAAAGAAAAAAAACTTTAGAAGGATCTTATTGATACAATTATTTTAAGACTTTGGCGCTCAGACCTCAGCAGGAAACATTAGCGATGAATCTTACTTTAATATGCATAAGCAGTTGCATGAGAACAGGGATGTTTCCCCCTAGCCCTGAAACTGTTGGTGGAGTGGAGATGGATGAAGTTTGATCAGTGTTTGAGCAGTGTGGTAAACAAAGAAGCTGGTGGCTATTTGGTCATAATTCGGGGATTCTTACTGGCACCACAGCCCTTGTGTGTCCTTGGGCAAAATGCGTGAGTCAGTGAAACTTTGGCTACAATGTAGCTTTTAATAACCATCAATGTGTGCGTGAATGACTGAATGTAAGTGCTTTGGTCAGTCTCCTGACTTGAAAAAGTACTATATAAGTACAGGCAATTCTCAACCTAAACCTGGGCCATGGGATACAGGAGTTATGTCCTCCAACCCAAGGGTTACCAGTTCGACCCCCTGCTCTGCCTGTTAAAAGTTGCTGTGTCCTTATATTGCCTACTTCTGGTCAAAGGGCCTGGTGGCAACCTTGCTTCTGCCAGTTTGCCCCAGGGCAGCTGTGCTGTGTCATCGTCATTGAGTGAATGTTTGCATGTGAATGACTAATTGTAGTGTAAACTGTCCCCTGACTTGAAGAGGCACAATAGGGCCATTTGCCTCATTTAAAAAAATGAATGGATCTGAAAACAACTTCAGTGGCATATTAGTGTTTAAATTTGTATTAAAATACAAAGTCCTTAAACAATTTTACCGATTAACTTTTGACCATTCTGATGTGTAGGTTTTACCAGTTGTCAAAGGAAAAAAAAATAAATTCTGCAGTTTGCAGAGTTGTTGAAAGGGCTGTGTGCCGTAATCTGTCAGGGAAAAACCCTCCAGCATTCGAGGTACTACTGTATCCCTAATGCTGAACAAGATGAGATGGAACCCCTGCCCCTTAAGTTTTTTCCCCATTAGAAACCCTTCCTTTTTTTCCACATGCACGTGTGTAAACACTCTCCTCAAGTTCATGCACAATTAAGATCTATAATCCCACTGCAGATCTCAATACTCAAATCAGATTTTTTTTTTCTGGAATCAATTTTTTTTATATATGTTTGGTCTTTCCCATAACTGCTAAGATGTTGTCAATATCTGACTTCAGTGTGAACTGTTTGCAGCTCCAAAATGACCTGCGTGCGCTCAAGATTAATAACAGTGTTATGAAACGCAGCTCAACAGTAAACATGGACAAATAGGTGTCATACAGCAAAAGCTATTTAATGTGTCATTGGGGACCACTATGTGGTAAGAGGAGTAAAACTCTTTGTTGTAGCTTTATAGGGTAAGCTGACTGCCATTTCAGCACAATAGACTGTCTTGATGGTAAGACAAAGGCAGTTTGGGGGGCAGGGTTATTACCAACCTCACATAGGTTGAGTTAATTCAGAATTATATAGCGTCAAAATGACTTTTAATCAAATATGTCAACATTTACCTCTTTAGCATTCCTTCGTCCTCTGCGTCTTAGGTTGTATGTTAAATTGTATTTACAATACAAATTATGTCCCACATTCAACCGGTTCCTAAAAGCCCTTTTTTTTTTTTTTTTTGGTCTTAAATAAAGTTTTATCAATGTTCACTGATTAGATCTAACGTCCCACTGTCTCTTCACTTTACCATTTCCTGCTGGGCAAATCTAAGTTGTGACGAAATCTATTGGAAAGTGACGTCCAAAAGTCACATCTAATCCACCTTAGACCTTTCCAATCAAGTCACCTTCTACAAGATCAGATACATAGTCATAATCCAGACCACACATGAATGTAGCTTCGCCCCTCATTGTACAAATGTCAGAGAAAAGCTGTTGTGGCTTATTCACGCTAAATTTTGTTTTTGTTTTTATTATTATCTATTTACAGTACGTCTTTTAACTAGCAATATATTGTAAAAAGGATTTTCTTAACCAGATAAAAAAAAAGAATCAGGTACAGTTTGTTGAAGTGCCTACTTGACTGTCCTTAGCTCTGTCATCTTTATGGAAAGAGAAGGCTGATTTAATTTCACCTGAAGTCTCCGCTACGCTCTCATTCTAGTCTTTCCTGCAAACCTCGAGAAAACAAAGATGCACAGTTTGTTTCTGTGCATTCTGTGGTTATTTCTTGTGTATACAGAACTTTTAATCAAAGTATGAAATATTTACCTTGCAAACTTATCAAACTTTAAGCCATTTCTCCCCTGTGTGGTCCTGGCAGTGAGCTGTGGGAAAACAAGGGTTTGTCTTTTAGGAGAACTGGTTTTATGTGGCCTCATGATGCTTTTCCCAATAATGTTTTATTAAAACACTCATACATAACATAGAGATGATTTAGAGAGACCAAATAACCTAACTTCTCTGAGGAAGACAAAAGTATCTTGAGAAAACTGAGAAAGCATCAAGAGAGAATGATAACTCCAAGCAGAGAGACCCAATTCCAGAGGTTTTTAGTGTACCGTATATGGATATACACCTCCAAACACCATTCCATATTGTTACAAAACATTTAGGCTTTTGCTAGAAACCTGAAGATGAGGAGGAACTTCATCCTTTGGCTGAAAAATTATCCCAACATTAATTTTTACTTTATGTTCGACAGAGAAACATCAAAATAACTGCTAAGTCATATTGTGTCATGCCGATGGATTTCCAAATAAATATACCTTTCAACACCACAACAACAATCTAATAATAATTCAAACAAAAACGTGGGTTACTCATATTCAGCACCACAACTGCACAGTTATGTACACAGGCCGAGGCAGACTTGCAGCCCAGTGTTGTCAGCCTGTTGTGTTCATTACTCAAACCGGGCTAAAACTGGGGACATAGCTCATTTCAGAGCAGTCGCAGAGCCAACCAGATAGCAAAGCTGGTGTGATTGTGTGCAAAGTACCAGGTATCAACAGCATAACTCAAATTTAGTAGTTAAATCTAAAGGATGACCCAAAATGGGCTGATTATGAATTACTGCTAAGTAGGTTTATTAATCCAGTTAAAAATTGGTAGAGGTTTACCAAAAAAAAAAGCATCACCAGATTAATAATGAGGAATGTTCAGCTGAGCCTACCTGGAATCAGTGAATCCTTCATATTCATACCTCTATTACTTACTTATTCAAATTTCATTGAACCCCCCCTATAAAAACTCGGAAAACCCTCCCTCTCATTCTCTGGGTAGCTACTGTCCATTTCAAAAAATCTCTTTTATCCACAAATACTTCTTTTGTTTTGCTTGCTGTCACTCTTCTTGGTAATATCACTCAAAGACATGTTTACCAGCGAGTTGT